AATTACATAAAAATAATACCACTTGAGAATTATATATATAATTATGTATAATTGTTAATGGATTTTAATAGGTAATAAAACTATACATAAATATATAATTATAAAATTATAGTTATACCTGAGGCAAAGGATCTACACATTGTGGCATGTGATCAACTCATCTTTGGAAGGTGATCCCAAAAGGCACACACAGAGGAAGTGATACCCAAAAGAAAAATAACTTTTTCCCTAAATATAAAAACAGTGAACTAGTGTGTATTTATTTTTCTAAATTGAAATAACACAAATGATGTAAGAAAAAAGCAGAAAAGTAATCTCTTCGTGATTGGATTTGAGGCCTGCTCCAGAGGAGGGATTTTATACCTAGCACTATAGACCTGATAAAAAGCCCATATCTGGGCAAGCCAGAGACCCTAGATAGGAACCTATTGTGGTTTTGCAAAATAGTCCTGACAGAAAACTGCTTTCTAAATATTTATGTTTATGCCCATAGATTTGTGCAGTTCTCAGTCTTGGTCAGAGATGCTTCCTTTATGAGGTGGGTCGTGGTTAATGCAGAGATTGATAACTGTTCAAAGTGCTGAGAATAAGTGACTTTGAATGCTCAGCCATAGATGGGTGGTCTCTACCAACCCCTGCCCCATACACATGGAAGGTTCAGGGAACATCAAGGAAGAAGGAACAGAAATAAATGTGAGAACCAGAGGATAGGGAGGAGAGCTGTGAAATGCTGGCTTGACTTGGCTGTCGCACACACTGACTAACAGCCACTGATAGGCTGCTCATGCCCCAGTGGGTGGCCCCACACCCATGCACATATGGCAGTACTAACTGGATTTAGTGGATTATTGATTTTTTTTTTTTTAAAGAGGACATGAAGCTAGAAGAGAAATATGTTGAGAGGAGACTTCAGGATGTGGAGGGATTAAAATATATTGTATACATGTATGAAATTTAAGAAAACATGGGGCTGGAGAGATGGCTCAGTAGTTAAGAACACTGGTTGTTCTTGCAGAAGACCCGGGTTCGAATCCCAGTACCCACATGGCAGCTAACAACTGTCCGTAACTCCAGTTCCAGGGGATCCGACAGCCTCTTCTGTCCTCCGTGGGCATTGCACGACACAGGTGTACTTACATACCAGGCAATACACTCATACACATAAAATAAATTTTTAAAAAATCTCTTAACTGTGGGTTCCTGTAAAATCTCAAACAAGTTACATACTGTCTTATTTCAAGAGGGAAGAACCAGTGCACATTTAAGCAAAACCAAAGTCCAGCAGTGTAGACATCTGGGATTCACTCATGATCTTCTATAATGCTGTCATGAGCACAAAATATACTTTGTGCATATGTACAAAATATAGATACTTATTAATGATAAATGAGAAATCCTGTTCTACATGTTTACATACACACAGTTTCACACAATTTATTTTACAATATGTTATAGATTTTGGAAAATTAAAAACTTTTTTTCCTGATTTTGAGTTCTCTGTTGCTTTGGTGATTCGTTGCTGTTGCTATTGTCATTGTTTGGTCAGTTGATTTAGTTTAGTTTGGCTTCTTTGGCTTTGGAGGACAGGATCTTGCTACATAGCCTGGAATTTTGACAATTCTCCTGCCTCAGCCTCCAGAGTGCTGGGATTATAGGCATGTATCACCATGCCTGACTATATTCTTTCTACATATATATTTTTTAAAATCTTGCCAGAGGCTTGCTTAATTTATATTTTCAAAGACCTAATAAAGAAATTGGGAAATTTGAAGCACACTTAAATGATACACGAGTCAAAGATGAAATCATACTGGAAGTTAGAAAATACCTGGAAGAAAATAATAATAACTTCTGACACAGAAGTGACTAAAGAGATGCTGTCACTTAAAATTAACAAGTCAGGCATTCGATTCAAGAAATGAGAGAATGTGAGTCAAACAGAGAAAAGTAGAAGGAAATAAACGGAAATTAATGAAAGAAAATAAAGAACAGAGGTGATCAGCAGAACATTTAACAAAAGCTTGTACTTTCAAAACCTGAATAAAATCGGCAAACCTATAACAAGGCTACAGAAGGGGAAAGAACAGAGATCAAGGATAAAACAGAGGACCCATTTGGAGATAAACTTATAAAATCATAATAATATAGACCTTAGGCAAAATGGGCAGCTTCTGAGAAGAAATAATAAAGAGGCCTCCAACCGCTAAGCACATTGATTGGCATGGTAGAAGGGATTTAAAATGTAGGCGCAGAACAGTTGGTGGGCCCTGGTAACCTGATCACTTTCCTGTTCGGGTAGGAAATGCCAGTGCCCTCTTGCACTTTAGCAGGCTTGGAGAAGTTCCATATTCGGTGTCTCCACCCAGTCAAGGGGGCTGAATGGCCAGAGCACAATTAAAATGACTCAGAGAAATACAATTGCTCAGGAACAGGTCAGCCGCTCGCATCAATTTGTGTACTTAGGGCACTAACTTAGAATGTCATAAAAACGGAATGCAGCCATTCCTCCCCAGCAAGCAGCTGCGAGCACGGCTGGTTTCCAACCCCTTTTGAAACAATAAACTCTGAGTGTAACAAAACTGCTTCTAGGAGATACGCAGTGTCTCTCACTGAACACTGAAGTCTGACAGCTAAAGAATCATGAAACGTTTGCAAAGGTTCAGCAGGGCATAAAGGACCAGAGATGCACTCAGAACAAAGGTATGGGAGAGGCGCAGCGTCCACGTCCCGGTGTTCAAACCTTTCATTTCTCTGGAAAAATACCCGCGTTTTCAGACACAAGTCCCTATGGTTTCGGAGCTCCTCCCGGAGCTGGGAGGTTCAGTTCCGCCTTCTTCGGCCCGGCCTGGGGCCACCGCCCTCCCGAGACCTGGCAGCGTCCCCTGCGCGCGCAGCGCTCCCGGCGCTCAGCCGCAACCCACCTCCTCTGCGTCCCGGCCCTTGGGGACGCCCAGGCTCTGGAGCCCCTGCTGCAGCTCGCCGATGTCCACCACGCCGTCCCGGCTTCGGTCCAGCACCTGGAACAGGGTCTCGTAGCGCGTGGACGGCTCCGCATCCTGGCAGGCCGCCGAGGACAGCGCGAATCCCCGCAGCCAGCGCAGCATGGTTCCGGGGAAGTCAGCAAGCCTACCACCTGCGGGGCGCGGCCGCTAGGGACTCCGACGCCAGGCTGGGCGTGGGGGGACGCCGTCCCGGGCGAGGCCTAGGCGGGAGCGGGAACCGAGCTGCGCGGCGGGCGTGGCAGCCCAGCTGCTGCTCTGGGCGGAGCTGGCCTCCGGGAGGGACGGGCCAGCCTACAGTAGGGGCCCTGCTGGGTGCTCTGATGCTTGGGAAGAAGTTCTGCTTCATCCCAGAAGTGAGCAGCTTTCTAAAGTGTGGGGTGGGCAAATGGCTTGAAGTGCAAGTTGCTCAGCCTCAAGGCCCTTTGGACTGGAAGCCTTGGAAAGGTGCCCAGAGGTGGCTGGTTCCCTGTGTGGGGAACTTGGCCTCGCCTAGGTCTCTCAACTTGTTCGTGTAAATGCACATCCACTGCATATCTCTGGGTGCTATTTCTGTTCACAAGAACGATGGGAGTGGGTGGTTGATTGCCTGGGAGGAGAAACTTTTAAGAAGAGTTAAACCTAGAAATGGCTGTCAGAGAACACAGAGAGGGGCGTTGGGGGGAGTGAAAAAGCCAGAGAAGAGACTTGAGCCGGGCATTTTGCAGAAAAATATCACCGCCCATTCAGTGGGCGTGGAGACAGGAACTACTGCTTCTGGAAACTGCGTGAGCTGCCAGAGCAAAGTGGGTATCTGCCCACAGCACCCATCAGAATAACCCCAGGCTCCTTCCTTTCCAGATGGATGTGGTTCTGAGGTTTGGTGTTCAAAGTTCAGGTGAGACAGAACTTCTGCATAACATGCGGTAACGGTAACTGGACACACACTGGATCTACCGAGAGAAGAGCAGAGTCCTAGTCCTCCTGCTGAGCGAATCTGAAGCCCAGGCATAGCATGGTCTCTCCAGGTGAGAAAGAACAGCTGCCTCCTACCAGGAGAGGTCTTTATGCTCTACAGCACCCAGCACCAATCAGGATGCCCTCACTGTCATCAATCTCAGTTTAATCACAGCTGCTTACTAGAAACCAGTTCTATCCTGTTGTCACCAGGCATTTAAATGAAAACCTAAACCACTCTTGTCTACAAAGGCCAGGAACTAAGACCCTGAATTTGCCTCCTTCCTTCCCCTTTTGTTTAAAACATACTATTGTGAATAAAGAATGCAGGTAAGGACTGTCTGCTTAATAAAAGTCATTCTGAAACCAATTTCTGTTTCTATCATTCCACATTCTAGTCTGAAGAATTAGCCCTTTCCTTTGGAAAAACCTTCAGACTTCATCAGCTTTTGTTATCTGTCCTTGAAAACACCTTCTAACCCCCTTACCTGGGTCTGTACTTGAGAGTTGTTTGCCAATTCAGAAACAATCGAAATGTAAATCCCTAAGCAACCTCATTGCATGCATACCACAGAATGCCTCTCAGCGATAAAAAAGAATGACTGACACCTGCTGAAGGTAAATCAGCCTGACAAATGACCAAACACACTAACTATCCACCCATCCAGCCTCTCCACACCAAGAGGGACAACATAGAGCCTTTAGCCTACTAGATATCTTGTTCCTTATCAGCCTTCTCGAAGATCTGCTTCTTCGCCAACCACTTTGCAGAAGATACCTAGTTCCTGTGTCAGAACTTACCATCTCTCCTTCCCAGATCCCAGGAAGGAACTTGACAACAGCCTAAGAAGGCACAACCCCCCTTCTAGGATTCCAGGAAGGCACAACCCCCTTTCTGGGATTTTCTGGGCCCACCTATAAATCCAATCCCAACACACAACCTTCATTCCCTCTGGAAGGTTGCTTGCCCCAGTAGTTAATAAAATTATCTGCATCTGTTGAGGACGGATTCAATTTCTACTTCTTTATTCCCACATCACCTTTTCATCCCAAATTCTAACACCTGCAACATACATTCTATGACATTCTAGAAAGGGCAAAGCCATAGAGACAGAAAACAGATCAGCAGCTGCAAGTTTTCAGGGAGCTTGACTACAAACGGGAACAGGGGGAACAGAACTGCTGTAGATCTTCATTTCAAAGGTGGTTACACAACTGTATGCTCCTCAAAACTTACTCTTCTATGCAGGGATCTCAATAAAGTAGACAAAAATCAGCCTTAAACATGAACAAAATATAATAACAAAATCCTAAAAGATCATGGTGATCAAATTTATAAAGTAAACAATTTATGAAGTATTTCAACTCTGTGTTGCTGTCGGTATTGTGAACCATCGCCCTGCAGCATCAGTCTTACTTTGGAGCTTCTCAGACACAAACCTTCAGGCCTGCCTGGGCTCACCTCACAGGGATCGCACATAAGAGCCCGGGTGAGCCTTTCATGCGTTATTTGAGAAGCAGTAAATAAATGTGCATGCAACAAGTAAGATGTGGAGGATTTAAAAACCTTATCAACTGCGTGTGTTGAATCTAATCAATACGTAGAGCCATCTTTTAATTATCTGACAATTCATTTTTACTTAACTTTATAAAAATATGTTAGTTTGAGAAACAATACAGATTGCTGAAGTTTGGGTCTGGAATGTCCTGAAAGGCCCATGTACTGAAGCCGGGGTCCCCAGGTTAGGACAGTTGAGAGGGTGTAGAACCTTCTAGAGGTGGGGCCCACTGGAAGGTCTTTAGGCCAGTGGGGGAGTGCAAGAGTGCTATCCCAGGGGGTTGTGGGATACTCCAGGGCCTGCCCTCCTTTCCACTTTTCTCTTTCCTCTTTTCTTCTCACCAAGAGGTAAGCTATTCTGTTCCACTGTGTTCCCCACCAGAAACCTAATGAACTGGAACCTCTGAAACTATGAGGCAAAATAAACCTTTTCTTTTTTATAAATTGATGACCTCAGGTGTTTGTTATAATGATAGAAGGCTAACAGAGAAATAAAAGCTATTGTAACAAGTTTCCCCTTTTGAGAAGAAAACTTCCACAGATATCAAACATGAACATGAAAGGGCTCCCCTTCCCACTTCTGCTAATAAGTCCCAAAGGCCAACAGTGTCCCAAGGGCCACAGTAAAATCAACTCACATGTCCTTTACTGTATTCATTTCTGAGGTCAGGAAATAAGTCTAATGTTTGGCTCAATTCAGCTACTCTACTTGACCCAACTTCTGGCCTTCTCACATCTATCATTTCCACTGGAACAGCAGACTTTATTGATCTCATCAGTTTGGGGCCTTTGAGACTTCTTTCAGCACCTACATCAGATTCCTTGTAGTTACACAAGATCTGCTTGCATAACCACCCTAGATTCTCACATTTTAGCAGGTAAACATGCTTACCCTTTCTGCTAACTGAGCTACTTACCCTGTGATAATAAGACCAAATCTCCAGCCTCTCCACAAGGACCAATTCTACTCTAAAATTCCCATCGTTGCTCTCGCACTCCAGAGATCACAAAGTAGGCCATGTCGGAGAATTCGACACATTCTGTGAAAAGCTATGATCACCAGTAGGAAGCTAATATAATGCATTAAATTTTGAATCTGTGTGCTCTGATAGGCTCTACTGAGACAATTATTATTTTGGATTTTGGCTCCTTCATGTCACACAAGCTGATTTGAAATTCTATCAAATTCTCTAAGTCATTTAGGAGACACAATTCCAGGTTAAAAAGTGGATGCTGTCTCTTGCCCTACTGTCCATTAACCCACCCAACCCCCAAAATAAATGCAAACAATTCTCAATTGTAAAAACACAACACTAAATTACTTAAGTTACCGTCGTTACTAAATCATGTATGTACTTCACATTTCAAAATAACCGTGTATAACAATAACTGGCCTTAAAAACAATGTACTTCAGCATTCTAAAAATTATCTAAAGACTGTGTTAAGACTTCAGTGTTTCAGCATTTATTTCAATTGGGTCCTGTCCTTAACACAAATGACAGAATGTATGAACTCAGTGGGGAGGCTATGGGAGGGTGCCGAAAGGGAAGGGGGTATAAAGATGATTTTTTTGTATAAAATACACAAAAATTCAATTAAAATTTTTTAAAAAATACTAAATGAATTTGGCCCTATTGAGCTGGAGAGATGACTCAGCAGTTAAGAGCACTAGCTGCTTTTGCAGAGGAACTGGTTTGGTTCCCAGCACCCACGTGGAGGCTAACAAGTTGTCTGTAACTCCAGTTCCAGGGCATCTGATACTCTCTTTTGACCTCCATGGGCATGGTATGACATGGGTGCAATTACATACATGAGGACAATACACTTATACACATAAAATAATGTTTAGAAAAAAAATTATGCCCTGAATACTTTGTTTTTATGTAAATCAGTTTAAAATTTAAGAACAGTAATCATAGAAAATAGATCAATGTTATCTACTTACACTTTATATATAAAATCTCCATCTTCCTTCTTCCCTCTAATCTTCTTCCCTTCCTCCTTTCCTTCCTCTCTCCCTCCATCTCTTATCTTTCTTCCTTCATTCTTTTCTTCCTCCCCCTTCCCTTCTTTTTTCTTTCCTGTCTTCCATGCTCCCAAGTTAAAAGCCACCAGGCAGGTTTGAGTGAGAAAAACTGCCCAGCAGGAATCAAAAGTGGCTGAGCAGTGTGCCTGGCTGGATTGAGAGGACAGGCACAGACCAGAGAACTGAGCAAGTACTCTGCCGAGAAGGTAGGCTGTTAGAGAATGGGGCTACAAAAGAGAAACGACTGAGCTACAGTTAATCCTGTAGTGTTGGACTGTAAACATGGTGTTGGTGCCTATTCATGGTTTTAACTTGAAGATATAGATATAGAAAGGGGTGTGTGTGGATATATGTATACACACACACACACACACACACACACAGAGAGAACATGTGAAGTAAAATGTGTAATATTTAAGGAAGATCATCTTGCAAAAAAAAGATGTGGAAGTATTGGCGGAGGGTGAGGCTGGGCTAGACCCAGGGAGATGAGCTCAGCATAGGTGATAGCTGTAGGGACTGGAGAAGCAAGGAATGACTTGAGAAATGGTTTGGAAATAGAATCAGCAGAACTCACTGACTGCTTGGGCAGGGAGGTCAGAAAGAGATGAACCAAGGATGACGGTGATGACCCAATTGAGCAGCTTTACACAGAGACTGCAGTGTCAGGGTCCATGTTGGATGAGTTGAGTATGACTTTGAGTCTCAGTTGAGTATCTGTGGGGATGTAAAGCAAAAGCCAAAGGGACAGGAGGATGTTGAGAGAGAGAGAGAGAGAGAGAGAGATAGGAGGAGGAGGAAGAGGAGAGGAGGAGGGGGAGGGAGACAGAAGAAAGAGGAGGAGGGGGAGAGAGAGTGAGAGAGAGAGAAGAAAAGGAGGAGGAGAGAAGAGGAGGCAGACAGAGGAAGAGAGAGAGACTCTAGGAAAGAGAGGGTTTCAGGAAGTGCCACATGCTGATGGTGACGAATACAGCCTGTCTTTTAAGATTTGCCAATTCAGAGATATGTAAAATACTATAAATGCTTTAGTGAAATAAAGAGATGAACCATACCAAAATGAGCTAAAAGTGAGTCACATGTGAAGACACTGAAGAATTGAGCCACATCGACATCGTCAAGGTTCAATCATTTTATATCTATTCAGACATTATGGTAACTCTTCAGTTAACACTGGAGTAAATTCCAAAGTTCTCAGCGAGAATAGGGAATTCCAAAGCCCTTAGGAATCTGATGGTGCTTCATTTTTGGCTCCAGCCCCGTTTCCCCACCTGCATTATACGATCTCATGACTTTTCCTGTGGAGAATTGAACAAACCAACATCTGTCTATTCAGCTCAGATAGGACAACAGTAGCCCAAAGAAATGACTCCACTCCTGTCTATCTTAGTGGACCAGTGAGTTTACTGGGATTACTTATGGGAGCATAGGAGAGGGGGTCCTTACAGGAGCGTGAGTGACCCAGAGGCAGCTGCACCACTGAAGAGCCCACCCCAGCATGGGGATGACTCACGGAAACACAATCCCTGGAGCTCCTGCCTAACCTGCAGGCAGGTTGGTGTCTTGAGGAGTCTTCTTTCTCTGCTTATATAACATTTTGGAGGGACCTTGTGAATCTTCTAAGTTTCAGGAACTTCCTGAACCTTGTGCATTTTATTTCCTGAGGTTTTGGAGTCTCTTTCCTCCTTCCAGGAGAGGCTATTTCAACTCAGAGGAAATAACTACACAACAAACCTCCAGCCTCTTGTACTCTGTGGGAAACAATGACAGCTAAAGGTCACCATGG